ATCACCTGCGGCCTTGTCTTCCCTCCCTTTATCTCTTCCCTCTGTTACGCAGCAACCCGGAGCAGCAATCATCCGTGGCCCCGTCTCTCTTTCTTTCCTCTCTTGATGCGAGCATGAAAGATCGGAGCCACAACAACATGCGATCCCATCCCTTTTCTCATGTTCCAGCATCTGCCACACACAAAGCCGCAATCATTTGCGGCTTCGGCATCTGGTCACCTCGTCTCTTCTCTTCTCTTCCTAAACTGGTTGCATATGGAGCCGCAACAACGTGTGGCCCCGTCTCTTTCCTTCTCTTCTTGGCTCTGCTACGCACTAGTCCCTAATTACGTGCGGCTCCAATATCTCACGGTTCTGGTCTCTTGTAGCTTCATTTGTCCTTCTCTATCTTTTTTATTTGAAAAACACAGCCGTGCATCAGGGGGGACTCCTTCTCTCTCATCTTCTCGTCCTCACACCCCCTCTCACGCTTGCACTGGCACTAGTGCCTGCCTCTTTTGTGCGGACACGACTCTCTCTTTCATTCTTCCCTTGTCTTTTGTCTCATCAAGCCTACCTCGAGCCACACATACCCACAATCCTAACCCCTCACTTTCCCAATTCCATTTGCATGTTAGTAAACTCTTTTGATCATCGCGTGTTTGACTCAATGTTTCTTTGAAGCTGTTCTAAGAGTTTGAACTCTCACATTGCTACTCAAACTTCCATTCCGTACAGTCGAGTTGAGTAGTGAGAGACATAGGTGCTCTTGCCCTCGCTCATTGGGGTGTGGTCGTCTTGAGTTAGTATCACGATCCCGCCCCTTGATCCCTACCGTTCTCAACTGGAGGGCGACAGAATGCGGGATCGCGATCACAGAGGTAGCGAACGCCACTCTGGTCAAAGTGGTGGGGTCGTGACTGTTATGGTATTAGAGCACAGAGACATTCATATACTATTCTTGTACAAAATTTCTATACAATCTCATGTCTAATCTCATGCTTAAATTTAAGTTATCATTCATGTCTAAAATCATGCGTCATACATGCTTAGATTCATACTTGATTTATACATAATTCATACATCATTCCTGCTTCATACTACACTATCCTGATCTACTTACCTCACAAGAACTCCAAGTTACCCGCCACCAAGCTCTCCTCAAAGGTCAAGCTCCCAAAGCTTGAGGCTCTATGTGTGGTAGAGAGAAAAAAAGGATGTGGGAGAGGGAGAGAGAACCAAAGTTCTTGGAGAGATGAGAAGGGCTCATTTATAAAAGAGGAAAGAGCAGCAAGTGACAAGTGGTGAAGTGGCAAACATGGGCTTACATGGTCAACAAGTGGCAAACTCAAGGGACACTAAACAACAAGCAAGGGACAAGTGGTGTGTAAAAGAAGAAGTCCCCCGGACTACCCTATACAGCTGCGCCCGACGGCCCACATCGTACACGGCAGCTCACGCACACTGTAAAACACAGCCGGCGCTGGTCCATCTCTCTCAACACAACCGGTGCTACACACTCAACACAGCCGGCGATAGCACGTGTCGCAATAACACAGCTGGTGATAGCACACTTCATAGTCGGCGATAGCACAGACGACAACAACATCGCCGACGATAGCACACTTCACAGCCAGCGATAGCACAGGCAGCAACAACACAGCTGGCGATAGCACAGGCGGCAACAACACAGCTGTCGATAACACACTTCATAGCCGGCGATAGCTCTTACGCGTGCAGCGTTTGTCTCTCCTTTTCATCACCGCACGTGCTCACCATGCTCAAGAAAATTGGGTTGTTACAGTTAGCATCTATAGAGATCTGACTCTTTCGACCGCCTTGATCATTAAGTCTTGTAACACATGAGTGATCAAAGGTTTTCATCACCTTCCTTTCTTCGTCTTATATTTGCCATTGTTCTTTTTCAGATAAAAGAACGAGATGACGTGTTGAAGTTTGAGGAGAGTTCGTGTCCAAACTGCGATGGCAGATAGCTGGAGGCCTGCGTAATTGTTCTAAGAGGGCGACTGCTTGGGCGTACCCCCATGCTATGAGCTAAACACCTAAATGCATCATTGTCGATAAAAATCTCTCTCGTTATTGGTTCCTATCCGCACTATAAAAGAGTACGCGTGTGTACACAAGTGAAGCACATGGGTCCCTTTTGCAGTTGTTTGAGAGAGGCTTTTCTCGTGCGAAAACCAAGCCTCGACCACCTATATTCAAATAGTGTCAAGAAACGTGGTTTCAATATTGGAAAAATTATATCTTCATCTTTATTTATAAAGTTTAAAGCTTCAAAATAGTGTAGATTGACAGATCTATGAAAACTTAAAAAATTAACGGTCCAAAAATGCGTTACAAAATACACTATTTCCAAAACTTGAAATCCATTTTTTTCTCATGTCCATGCATCTTGATGTCGAGATGATCAATTTGAGGATAATTGAGCATCAAAACAACCTCTTCTAGTGAAAGTTTTTAGGTAGGCTCTAATTTGATTAGTTAGAGCCTCGGTTCTATATATACTTTTCCCTTTATAATAATCTCCCCCTCTCTTCTTGATTTGATGCCATATGTTCATCGAAGTGGCTTTTTTCTATCTAGTGAGTTAGTTTACGTACAGCTCTTCATGTGTCATTGACGGTTGAATTAATATATATGTCAAGACCAATTACCTTCGGCCCTTCGGCAAAAGGTGGTCACAATTAATCTTGATTATTGGGTGTAAAATATATATGCGATTGTCTATATATAAAAATGTTTATCTTTTACAAATGGAGGTCACAATCATTCTTTTCCCTTAAATTTCAAAATGGGTAGTTGTAATAGGGCCATTGAACAAATAGAAAGTACCCAAAAAAAAAAAAAAAAAATCTCAGACTTCATAACTCACCCCAAACCATCCAATTTAACATCTAATGTTGGAATGATTGTGACCTCCAGATAAATGATCTTATTCTTTACTTTTTACAATATTAATATAATAAAATAAATATTACATCTAAAATATTGGGTCAAGACAACCTAGCCTCTTATCTGACCCAACCTAAAGTGGGGTCTATACTTTTAAATCTGGACCTGACTCATTGGATCCAAAAATCAAACCGACCCGAGTCAAATAGACCTATCGGATTGGCGCATCACCCACCCGGTTACCCGCCCCTAGTCTAGCCACCCGCACCCATGTCTCTCCATAGTCTACTTAAAGGGGGAGTGGAATGTATGCCTTGGTTGGATTTTAAAGAAAACAGGTGTGTTTGCCCTGCTGTACAAGGGAATGAGTCATTCCGGTCAACTTCCGTCGCCTACTTGAATTATCATTATGTGGAAAAACACCATTTCTCCTGCCCCCCCATCTCTTTTGTTTAGCAATTGACTCAACAATGAAATAGACAAATAAAAACTGCTATAATGACTGTTTCAAAAGTATTCCAACTATTTTCTCACCACAAAAAGGTAAGGAAAAAAAAAGTTTGGACTCTAATTTTTTTTTTAAAATACAAAATGTTTCATTTATAAGTAAAAACTACTACGAATCTCATTGAACATGAATTCTTTTAATTTTTTCAAAATTATCTTTCGGTCTGACGATAGAATCTTTGGTTTGAATTTTAAAGTTTTTTTTTTTTTATAGTTTTTTGGTTAGTAGGATAGGGTCTCAAACTCTAATGTAGTGTCCTACAAATGAAAAAAAAAACTAAAAAGACAAATTAAAAAAAATAAGTAATTTTTTTAAAAAATAAGTTGACTGACCGTTTTTTGTTACAACTTACAACATTTTATATTTTAGAAAAAAATTTAGAATCCGCACGTAAATCACTCAAGAAAAAATATCCTCCATTTAGTAGAGGGGCATTTGCGGAATTATGATAATCAAGGACATGGGTTACTTGTCCATTGACTAGACGGAATCTACCATCCCATATACGAATCTAACGAATGAACGACTGCCACGTGTAAGATCCAAACGGGTACAAAGGGATTAAACGCACATGCAATTACTGCCCGACAAGTGGGGATCTCGTGATATCAATTAATGAATTTGATCAATTTAAATAGCCGTTAAACTCATGTAATAATAATAGCTTAAAACAAAGGCCCTTTATTGTCAACAAGGACATAGTTTCCACTCATTAATGTAGTAACATGTAAGCTAAAGACGTATTTTATATTCACACTAATTAATTTAGGCAAGGAAATGGCGATTCGGATCAGAACTAGATTAGGAACCAAAGGGGCTTACCCAATTCCTTTAAAATATGTGTGCAGTATTTATAGAGTCTAGGCTCTAAACAATCAAATTAGAGCCCACTTTCAAAATAATATCGAGAAATGTGGTTTTACTATTAAAAATCTTTGTTATAGCCTTAAAACATCTTCATATTTATTTATAAAGTTTAAAGCTTTAAAAATAGTGTAGATCGATAGATTTATGAAAACTTGAGAATCTTGAAAATTGACAGTCCAAAAATACGTTACAAAATATACTATTTTCAAAACTTGAAATCTAATTTTTTCTCATGTCCATGCATCTTGATGTCGAGATGATCAATTTGAAGATATTTTGGCATCAGAACGATATCTTCTAATGAAATATTTGAAGTAGGCTCAAATTTGATTGTTTAGAGGCTCGGATCTATATAAACGTTTCCCTTAAAGTATAGGAACCTATCCCTTCCCTCCATGAACTGGTCTGGATTCTCTAACAAAACATTACTAGTAAAGACTGGCCCCACCTTTTATTTCAAAATTTTTTAATATTTTATTTTTAAATCTTTATACTGGTTTACTCGGGCATATAGCCAATCCACCAAACTGGATACGTTTTCATGTAAGTAACCAATCCGATTTTTTGAAACGTTGATTAGAATTTCCCTTTAGTTTTTTTATTTTTTTAATAAAAGATAGAAGTGGTGGTTAGAGAGATCATATTATTAATTAAGTAATTACAGCCCAGCTTTGTCGTTGGTTTTGATTGAGGGAGGTAGGAGTGGGACCCTACCCCATGCCTCACAATGCCCAGCTGTTCCCAGCCCTCAAAACTGCTATCCACGATCCATCGATCAAACCCAGTCTCATAACAATTCTAAATTCCCATTAGAGAGAGAAAGATGAGATAGAGAGAGAGAAAGAGAGAGAGAGTGTAGGGTTCCGCGAATGAATTAAATTAAATTGGACTGCCCCCCACCAATTATTTCAATATCCAACCATCTTAGCCTTCGGTTGTGTACATTCTACAGATCTGTTTCTTTTGATACTTGCCCCTCTGTCTCACTCCCTGAGAATCAGTTTTCATTTTCCTCGATTGCAGGTATTGCTTCTTTTTTTATCTCTCTAAATTGTTCATCTGAAAAATCGATTAGTTTTTTTCTTTTCTTTTTTTAAATTCGTGTTGAGGGGATTCTTCTGTGTTTTTTTTGCTTAGATCTAAGTAAAATCTTGTTCTGTTGAGAATCGGATTCGAGTTTTTGGTAACTTGGTGTTTAAATACAGTAGAAAGATGACGCCTTTCCTTTTAGTTTTCGCAGAGGGACAGATCTTTATGTTGTGATTTGGGATTGTGGATGTTGGGTTTTGATATTTGCTTGGATCTTGTGATATTGGGGAATTGGTTTTGTTTTTCCTTTCTGCCTTTCAATGGGCATGGGTAATGAGATTTATGCTTTTGTGGGTTCTCAGTTTTCTGTTTGATCTGTTGTCTGGTGTGATTTTCTGTTATGGATATGGACTCTATGGTTTCCATTTTCATATAGCCTTAAATATGTTTATTGGCAGCGCGAACATGTGAGTTTGACTTCGGATCTGTCAATATTGTGTTTTGAGAGCTTGTAGTTTTCTCCTTTTTTTTTTTATTTCCTTAGTGGTCTCTTTTTTTTGGGAAAGTCCTCCTGTTTAGACGCAATCCTGTATTATTTCTTTCTCTTCTACATTAATTTGGGTGGCTTATATGCTTGTGGCACGCTGTTCCTTTTTTGAGTAGCTTATGTGATTGATTTGATCCCATTTGATAGTTTTTTTGTTTCATTTTCACATTTTGTCTGTAGTTTTTTTTATTCTGAGAATTGGGCTCATCAGTATCAGCTTTTATTTTATTTTTTTTCATTTCATACTTTTGTCTGTATTTTTCCTTTGAGAACTGGGCTCATCCGAAACCAGGTGGTAGGCAAATTTCAATTGATGAATTTGGGTATATGATGATACATTGAATTAGGTGATGATAGCAGAATGGGGAAGAAAGGAAGCTGGCTTGTTTCAGTGAAGAATGCTTTCAGTCCTGAATCAAAGGAAAAGAGAGAACAGGTTGGGTTTTCATATCCACACCTCATACTCTAGAGATCAAAACATTTTCACTTTCCATTTCATTTGTTTTCCATGCTTCAAGTGTGCGCCTTTTAATTTTTTGACGGCGGTTCTTTTCTTCCTTTGTTGTGTTTGTTGTTATAGTCAAGTGGTAAGAAGTCGAAGAAGAAATGGAGATTTGGGAAATCGAAACGGACGGATGGTTGCTGTTCTTCAGAGGAACCTCCGCAAAATCCTCCTCATCCGCCTCCTCATCCTTCTGAGGAGTTGAAGCTGAGCGAAGCCGAGCAAGAGCAGAACAAGCATGCCTACTCTGTTGCCATTGCTACTGCTGTCGCTGCGGAGGCTGCCGTTGCAGCTGCCCAAGCTGCTGCGGAGGTTGTTCGTCTCACCACTGCTTCCCGTTACTCTGGTAAATCAAGGGAAGAAGTGGCTGCTATCAAGATTCAAACTGCCTTCCGAGGATACTTGGTAATCTAAATTTGTTTTTCCTATTTGCGTTTTAGCATTTTTCTCATTACTATGTGGTTTGATGAGTTTCTTTTGTTTCCATGTTTTGTTTCTCCTTTGGAAATTGCTACTTTCTTCATTGTTATGGTGAAAACTGGTTGTGGTTCAATTATAAACGTTTATGTTTTTTGTTATTTTCTGAGGTGACACATTCATTGTATGTTTCTCCATGGTGTTCCTTTTGTCATTCTCCCCTTACTTCTTGTGGCAGTTAAGACTCTCCTTTAGTATGTCATCCTTGGTGTCCTTCTCAATTATTTTGATTCATGTGTTTGTTGTAAGTTTCCAATTATGGCACATTTTCTGGGGTTTAACCAAACTCTCTAATAATTGGTTTTCATGCAGTTCAGGACAAAGGTTGTGTAGTTTATAAAGTGGCATATTTTTCAATTCTATTGTGTACTCCAAGGCTATTATTCATCAAAAAAGAAAATAACCAATGTATTTTTAGGTGATGATTGGAGAAGGCTTTTCTTACTGTTGATGGTGGCTTTGTGATTCAGGCCAGGAGAGCGCTCCGTGCATTGAGGGGTTTGGTTAGGCTGAAAACATTAGTGGATGGAAGCTCTGTTAAGCGTCAGGCTACAACAACACTGCGTTGCATGCAGACATTGGCAAGAGTTCAGTCTCATATCAGGGCTCGGAGGATACAAATGTCAGAAGAGAACCACGCTCTGCAACGCCAGTTGTTGCAGAAACGGGAGAAGGAGCTTGAGAATCTGAGGGCTTTGGTGAGTTGCAATTCTATTTCATTTTCCTGGTTTATGGTTGCCATTTGATGTCATGCTTGTATATCTGTGATTCCCTTGTGGATTGATTTTTATGGACTGTCATTGGCTCACAACTCGCATAGTTGCTTTATTTTTCATTAGAGGATTTGATTAGCATCACTTGCCAAGGAGTAATTTGTTAAGGACACTCCAAATGAAGGCACTCCCTTATACTGCTGGAAGGGTTGGAAAACAGTGTGATGAATGTAGCAGAATCTTTTCATCATATGAGAAGTTGGTGTGCGTAAGACCACACTTTGGGTTTGCATGAATTTTTAATTGACGGTATCTCAAAGCATCTTTAATCTTTTTTGGTAGAATGTTGAGACTTTCCTTGGTTGATGCTACCTGGGCCATGAAACTTCGGTGGGAATAAATAAGATGCAGCTTGATCATTCTGGATAAACTGAGGGACTTCCCCTTGCCTTTTGGTCTCTAATTGATATTCATATTCTCATACTCAAAGATTGATGTAGTCATGAAAATGCTGTCTGTTTCTTAAAAACTAGTTCAGAACAACACTTGTACCTAGAAAAATTTCCAGGTACCATTGATCATCATGCCTAAAATGTGGGATCATGGCTTTCTCCCTTGAACAATACATTAGTCACTAAAAAGGAAAAATGATTAATTATTTTAATGGTACTTAGAAGCATGACGAATTCCCATTGGTAGAAATTTGGAGTTCATTTCATAATTTAGATTACTTTCTGAGTTGTTTTTTTTTTTTTAAAGTCGTTGAAATGTTCTCATATTATTGCTTTTGACATATTCAGATATAAGACCTTAATCATTTCATGGAAATTAAGGATTTTTTTTTAATGTTTTAAATGATTATTTTCTATTTTGTATGTAATCAATAAGGATTTCTTGTGATCGATGAGCAATCCATCCAATCTAGATTGTCCTACTCATCCATGCTGTGTGTGATGCAAGATAAGTGACGTTTAGGGTTCCATTTGTTTTCTTCCTTTTACCAGATGGGGGAGGACTGGGATGACAGCCTGCAGTCCAAAGAGCAAATTGAGGCCAACTTACTCGGCAAACATGAGGCTGCCATAAGGAGAGAGAGAGCACTGGCTTATGCATTCTCTCACCAGGTATCTACTCAGTCGAAAAACTTCTCCAACTGTGCACAAATATTATGAAAGCATTCCTATATATATATATATACCCAATAGGCCATGGAAAACCATAGCCCATTGAGCTCCTAACATCTAATGAAAAGTTAAACGCTGATGGAGAGATGGTGGGATCCACCAGAATTGGACAAGACCCCTAATAGTGGGGTACCAAACTTTCTCCATCGCCGTCCATTTCATTGTCACTGCTGTCCACAGGATTATGTTGTAGACTTTCCCAATATATAACAATCCTCAACTTGAGATGCTCATTGTACTCGCCTTTCCTCATCAGTTGCGAAAGAACCCTTCAAGGTCCCCAAACCCGTTGTTTTCAGATCCAAGCAACCCGCACTGGGGTTGGAGCTGGCTTGAGCGCTGGATGGCCGCTCGCCCATGGGAGTCCCGTGAAAGAGAAACCCCTCCGCAATCCAAATTAACCAGCCGAAGCATGGCACCTGGAGAGATTACCAAAGCGTACGCACAGCGAGAATCAAACTTAGAAAAGCAAATCCTTTCTTCGCCGGTTTCACAAAAGCCAGGGGGATCCCGCCAGAAGCAGTCTCCTTCGACGCCAAAATCTCGGGCCCCTTCAGTGTCCGGTAGTGGAAGGCCAAGGACATTGAGCCCCCGTAGCGGGTGGGGTCCACAGGATGATGACCTGAGGAGCATGGTGAGCGTGCAATCAGAGAGGAATAGGAGGCATAGCCTAGCGGGTTCATATGTCAGAGACGATGAGAGCTTGGCGAGCTCCCCGGCTGTCCCCAGCTATATGGCTCCGACGCAGTCGGCACGGGCCAAGACGAGGATGCACGAGGTGACCCCTGAAAGACTGTCAGCAAAGAAGCGGCTGTCGTTCCCTGCGGTAGTTGACAAGAATGTGATGACAGTGGCATCCACTGCATCCCGGCGCCATTCGGGCCCTCCAAGGGTGGATGGGTTGCTCGAGGACTTGGATGTTAATAATACAGAACATTCAATGAGCAATGGTGGTGGGCGGTGATGAATGTATGGTGGTTTGTCTTTGGAAGATGTTCTTGTGAATTATTTTCTTTTTGTTTATTTTTGGTTTTGGTCAGGGGGGGATATTTGGATGTCTTTGGTGAATCGTTTTATTTTATTTTTCCTTTCCTCTTAATTTATTTTTTTTCTTTGGCCATTCTCATTGTGTTCAGAATGTTTGGCAATCTAGGCTTAGTTTGATGTTGGTATTGGGGTGATGGGGTTTGGAGGGTTTTAGTTGCTGCTGACGACTGTTATTGTAATGGTTGGGTTGTACGTGAACAAAATAAAAATCAAAACAGAATTTGAATATCTCTGTCTCTCCTGATGAAGTCTCTTACAAATATTTGTACATTAATTACATAAGGTAAAATCTTGAGTTGTGTTTTCTCTCGTGCTCTCCTCTCTTGGTGGAGTCGGTTGAGTGTTTTTTTTTTCTTTACATCTATGCATCTCATCTAAAGGTCAGATGGCGAATTGAAAGGTTTTTCCAACATTAAAATACTTTTTTTACTGGATATTTGATGTGCATCTTTAATAGTATGAGGTTGCAACATTTTATAAATTTTTAGAAAACTACAAAATAATATCGCTTATCTTTGATACAAGGTGATCATAATTAATTTTGACTATTAGATGTAAACCATTGATCAAGTTCAAAGTTCAAATTTTTTTTTTTTGAACTTTGTGAGACATCCAAGTTATTAGATTTACCATCGGATGGTTATAAATAATTGTGACGTCCGCGTACCAAAGGTGAATGGTCTCATCATATACAATCCTTGAATCTTTTCTTAAGACGTACATTAATTACATGAGGTGACTAAGGTTGTTTCCATGTCATTGCTCCGTTGAGGTTATTAAGTGTAGTTCAAACTCTAGGCATTATAATTTGGGCAAGCTTTCTATGTTTTCTTTACAGCATGGAAGTTTTATCCTCCCTTTTATCCAACCCTCCATTTTGATTGGAGGGTTAGATTGTTCCAATTACAATGTCACGTCTCTATACTATTTTATTTTTAATTTTTTTCTATAAACTATTTTGACACCTAATTTTGGACGTCCATTCCTCTGTTAAACTCACATTAGCGCAAAATATAAAAAAAGTATTTTCAATAAAATAAAATAACCAAAATACCCTTGAAAGTTTTAAGAGGTATTTTGGTCATTATATTTTATCGAAAAATTATTTTTAATATTTTTTATATGTGCGCCCCAATGAGAAGATGTCATGTACCAAATTTCATATTCATACAATTTGTATAAAAAAAAACTAAAAATAAAATACTTTGAAATGTCGAATCTAAGATCAAAAGGTGAGTGACTCTCTTGATCAAAATTGGACGGCTGGATGGTAGGGGGAGGATAGAACTTCTATGCTATAGGGGAAGCATAGAAACCTTTCCCTTATAATTTTATGGCCCGTTTTGGACTTGTATATGCAAAATCAAGTTTTGCGTATCCTAGTTTTTGAGGGCAAAAGGCTGTTTGGAACAAAGTGCGGCTTTGTATCGTAGATTTGCGCATCTTTAAAATGCCTCAAAATTAGTCATATATATATATATATATATATATATTCAAAAAAAAAAAAAAAGATTGCATATTGATTGTTTTTTTTTGAAAGCTAGATTTATTTGGGGAATATGCGCTCGTTGTCCCATTCTTTTTTTTAATAGCCTCTTCTCTCTCTCCTTTCCCTATTTGCCTTCTGCCATTGTTTGCCAATGTTGGGCAAACAAAAAATAATATGTCTATAAAATGAGTGCAACGGAGATAAGGATGTTGAGATGGATGAGTGACAAAACAAGAAGAAATATAATTTGAAATGAATCTATTCGAAAAAATTTAGGTGTGGCAAAAATAGGCCATAAGATGAAAAAGAGTAGATTTCGGTGGGCTGACCATGTGTGGCGTGGATCCAATACATCACCTGTTAGGATGTGCGGGTTAGTTCAAATTGAAAGATTGAAAATGGCAAGGGGTAGGCCTAAAAAAAGAGGTTGGAAGTAGTCTGAAAGGATATGTGGACTTATGACCTCATTAAGGGTATGACATTTAATAGAGCTAACAGGCGAACCATGATTTGTGTAGCCGATTCCAAATAATGTAGTCTAAAAATATATAGGGATTTAAGGTTTCACTGAGAGTTTGACATTAATAGATCAAATTGGTAGATCAGGATTCATGTAGCTGACCTCAAATAATTAGAAAAAAACTATGATGATGATGATTGTTGCATCCCATCCGAGCTCACCCTCTCCACCCTACCAATCGATTGAAGCTACTAAACGACCTCAAACTATCCACCATCTCTCCCACATCATTTTGGGCCCCATGGTCGACCCATTTTCTTTAGGTTTTTTTTATTGATAATAATACAAGATTTTTTTGGGGTTTTCATTGATTAAATCTTACAAGCTCTCCCTGACTGTTCTATTCTCTCTGCAACCACAACGTAAGGAAACCCAATAGCTCTTTGGACCATTCTAATGATGGCTACAATTGAAGAATCGATAGTTGAAGAACACCAAGAGAGAGAAAGGCATGGAGACAGAAGTCATCATAAAAACTACAATACTTGAAGAGGTGGGTGTTCCTATAGAGTAACAATGAGTAGAGCAGCCACAGTTCTTTACGTCTGTTTAATAGAAGACTTCACAGGTCGCTATTGCTGGGGCGAATGTTTGCCCCATTGAGACTATCTATTATGATGAATTTCATGTTTGAATTCTATTGGTTTTCGGTTATTTGAATTGTTTTATGATATGGATTTTGTAAATAATGGATTTTTAGCTATAGGTGATTCCTTGAAACTCTACTCTCTCTCTCCCTTATGTTATTTGATCATAACTCTTTGGGTTATCTCTCTTGTTAATTATCTATATTGTGGGTTATGCAAGTTGGGAGTTTTCAATTGAGGGCGTATGATTTTTTATAGCACAAAGTTGGTTTTAATTTTACCCAACTCGTCTAGCTTTTGCTTATGGAGCACAATCGTCTAGCTTTTGGTTCATGGAAGATGGGCTTTTCTCAACGATTGAGCATGGTTTTCTTGAATCTTGTTTATTTTTCTTTTTCCTCGGTAGTTTTTACTTCAAACTTCTCCCATAATTACCTTTATTTTGATTCATAGACTGTGACTCACTTCAATTGTTGGACTATATCTAGAGATTTATTCAAATCTCTCTAGGAGGTGCTAACTATTTTCAAGGCTTATAAACGAAATGTGCCCTTTGTGTGTGATAAGGATTGTGAAAAGGCTTTTGACAATACCAAGGCCTGCCTATTAACTCGCCTGTGCTGTCGTGCCGGTTCCAAGCATACTGCTTATTTTGTATATAGTCGCTCTTGAAAGATCTCTAGGAGCCTTTCTGGCTTTACAAAATGAGGAGGGGAAAAAGATGGCATTGTATTACTTAAGCCGCACCATGAACGAGTTGGAGCATAATTACTCTCCCATTGAGATTATGCGCTTGGCCTTAGTATCCGCAGTGCATAAATTATGCAGTACCTCCTTGAATATCCTCCCGACCCATTTCACAAGCCGATCCCATCAAGTACCTCATGACCTGATATAAGGACCTGGGTTTTTTCGGCATTTTTGAGTGCTGCCGTGCGTGGCGATGGCTCCGCCATGCATGCATGAGAATGCCACTGTGGGCAGTGCTGCCATGCGCGACATCACCGTGTGCGGTGTTGCTATGCGCGATACCACGGTGTGCGACATTGCCGTGCATGGTGTCGCCGTGCGTGACACCGCCATGTGCGACATCGCCTTGCGTGATGCCGTCATACGTGACATCGCTGTGTGTGGTGCCGCCGTGCACGATACTGCCATGGGCGACATCGCCGTAAGCGGTGCCGCCATGTGTGACACCACCGTGCGCGATGTTGCCGAGAACTCTATGCTTGATCTTTCATGAGTACCATGTGTATGCCACTGTATGTCACTTGTATGCCACTGAGTACCATGTGTATGCCACTGTATGTCATTTGTATACCTTGCATGCCACTTGCCTACTGCCTCCCCCTCCTTGCTTATAAGTATTCCCCCTTCACACCCCTCTCAAAAGTTTGGCTCTCTCTCTCTCACTCACGCCCACCGTCCTTAGCCTTAAACCTTAACCCATTATTGGAGCTGGCCTTTTGGAGTGTATATTGGAGTGCTTCTAGTACAGTAAGTGGATCTAAGATCCCATGTTTCATGCCTTGTTGATGCATGTTCAATTTGTTTGATAAAGTATGAAAATTGAGTAGAGATATGGATGTGATTGTTAAGTGTGCACTCTGTTTTTCCAAGATTGTGACTCTTCTTTAAGTAATTGTTTAAGTACTAAAATTATCTCTGCTGACTATGAAATTTTGTGAGGAGGTACCCCTTTGAGTCTATTTTAAGAGGGAAAATACCCCATATCAATATTTCTTTTGATTGAAAAGTTATGTACCATTTGTTAGAACATGCCAGAATTATGAAAAGAAATTTCAAGAACTTTACATGTTTTTGTATTGAACGGTTTACTGACAAAGTAATGTCCAAATGAGCTCAATCTACTTTTTAATGAAAGGTGAGTGAGTCTACTTTAAATATGATTCTGGAATCAAAACAAAATTCTCTGTGGTTTGGAAATTATGTCCCTTTTTCTATAAGATATCACTGTAGTGATGACAAGAAATTTTCCAGAAAGTTTATATGTATTTGTATTAAACGGTTTACTAACTAAATCATATCCAAATGAGCTCAAACCACTTTTGAATGAAAGATGAGCGAGTGTACTTTATAAATAGCTGTTGGATCATACTGAAATTCTTTTTGATTTGGAAATTATACTCTTAAAGGTGGACTGTGTTCACTTCCCAAACCAGCAAAATAATTTGAAAATGTTTTTAATGAACCATATGATTTGTGTTTTGCTTTAGACATACATGTCTGCATTAAAGTATTCTCTATGGTGATAAGAATGCCTGATAATGAGATGAGCCCTGCTATGATATGAAAGCATATTGTAAGATATACCCTGTTATGATATGTGTACGTGACTATGATACATGTTCTGTAGTATTATATGTGCATGATTATGATACAAGTTAAGCGATATGTAATTTTGTCGGCATGCTTTGAACGATTGCATAGTCGTAATGTGTTCTGATAAGAATGTGCTCTGATAAGACTGTGCTCTGAGAAGAATGTGCTCTGATAAGATTGTGTTTTGATAAGAATGTGCTCCGATAAGATTGTGCCCTGATAAGAATGTACTCTAATAAAAATGTGCTTTGATAAGTGGCACTACGCAACAGGTCATCCATTAGTAGTG